CTATGACTGCTCTAATAGATGCCACTATTGAATGGCTTACAAACATGGACCAGGGAAAGCTTAATGCGGTTGTTTATATTGATCTAGCGAAGGCATTTGATACAATAAGTCACAAGATATTACTTGAGAAACTCCACATTTACGGGGTTGATGCAAATAGTTTATCCTGGTTTCAATCCTATTTACAAGATCGCAAACAAAAATGTTATGTGAATGACGTTCTATCTGGCGAACGTACCATTAATTGTGGTGTGCCTCAGGGGTCAATTCTTGGACCGTTATTGTTTCTCATATATATAAACGATCTTCCTCAGTGTTTAAAACATTCTACAGCTCGAATGTATGCTGACGATACAAACATAACAACGACAGGAACATCTATTCGAGAAATAGTAACACATGCTAATGATGACTTAAATAATATAAGTGACTGGCTGAAAGCAAACAAACTCAGCCTTAACGTGACTAAAACTGAGTGTATGTTCATTGGATCAGATCAAAATCTTGACAAGTTAAGAGATGTACCACCACTATTTCTTGAAAACAAAGCTATAAAAAGGGTCAAAGCAACCAAGTCATTAGGGGTACATATTGATGAAAGACTAACATGGCATGAACATATTCAAAATATTTCAAAAAAAGTAGGTGCTGGAATTTCAGGTTTACGGCGGGGAAGGGAGTTTGTCCCATTATCGACATTGGTAACAATTTATAACTCATTAATACAACCATTATTTGATTACTGCGATGTTGTTTGGGACAGCCTTCCTGCTGCTGGTGCCAGCATTCTACAAAAGTTGCAAAATCGTGCCGCTAGAGTTATTACTCATCAAGGTTACGATGTCAGATCGAATGAAATAAGGAAAACACTAAACTGGGAAACTCTTGCAGAAATGCGAGACACACACAAATTAACTATGATGTATAAGATAGTAAACAATTTGGCACCAAAGTATTTAAGAGACCATTTTGAAATGTCTGCCATAGATAATTTTTATACATTAAGAAATAGAAAATTATGCCTTGTACTACCAAAGCCTCAAACTGAATATTTAAAGAAGAGCTTTGCATTTTCAGGGGTAAAATTGTGGAATACTTTACCAGAAGATGTAAAATGCAGCAACAGTTTGAGTCAGTTTAAAAAAGGAGCAATAATCACATCATCAGCTTCTAGCTAAATATTGTATATGTATTCGGCTTTCTTGTAAAGCAGTGCTATGCACTGAAGAATTTCCGAATTTAAATAAATCTGTCTGTCTGTCTGTCTGTCTGTCTGTCTGTCTGTCTGTCTGTCTGTCTGTCTGTCTGTCTGTCTGTCTGTCTGTCTGTCTGTCTGTCTGTCTGTCTGTCTGTCTGTCTGTCTGTCTGTCTGTCTGTCTCTCTGTCTGTCTGTCTCTCTGTCTGTCTCTCTGTCTGTCTCTCTGTCTGTCTCTCTGTCTGTCTCTGTCTGTCTCTGTCTGTCTCTGTCTGTCTCTGTCTGTCTCTGTCTGTCTCTGTCTGTCTGTCTGTCTCTCTCTCTCTCTCGAGCATACGCGGACAATTTCGAGTCGGGATTTTAAAACGCAAATTTGTCTCGAAATTTGTAATCGTCTGATAACTTCGGAAAATTAAAATTGAAAGACGCTTAGATGCGAAAATTGGGAAACGATAGTTAATTTCCGATTACGGGACAAACAAATTGCGGTGCTGTCTCGGCAATGGTCGACTGCGGTTTTTGTTTAAACGCGTTCAAACCTTACTCAACTTAGATTAAACCTCGGTCAGACCTCACTCAAACCCCGGTTAACCTAGGTTAAACCGAGGTCAAACCTAGATCTAACCTAGGTTTGACCGAGGTCTAACCTAGGTTTGACCGAGGTCTAACCTAGGTTTGACCGAGGTTGGATCTAGGTACATACATACATACATAAAAAATTATTTAAACACGTTAGCCCTAACATCTTTTGATGGTTTCCATAGGGGACGTGTAAGAATAAGACTAATACATATTCATAATACAAACTATTTACATGATTATTATTTTGACAATTAACAAACATAAATAAATAACAAACATACAAAACTATTTACATACTTATGGTTTTCGAAAATGTTGTTTCATTAGTCTTTTGAAACAACTCAAAGAATTAGATTGTTTAGCAGTAATTGATAAGTTATTCCAAAGAGTTGCTCCACTATAACTGAAGGTCTTTTTCTTAAATTGTGATTTTGGGAATGGAAGTACCAGATCTGTTTGAGAATTTCTTAATTGGTGTGTAATTGGACAATCACTTATTTTCAAAAAATTTTCTTTCAGGTTTGGAGCAGTTTCATTATTTAAGATTTTGTAAATAAAGATGGATTTCAAGTATTTTCGCCTATTGTCGAGAGTTTGCCACCCCAAAGTTGCAAGAACATCGGCCGACCTAATATCATAAGATGCTCCTGTTATTACTCTAGCAGCTCGGGATTGACATTTTTGTAGTTTTTCCTTTAGGACGATTCCACAGGTATCCCACAATTGACAGCAGTAGTCAAAATAGGGTTGTGTTAAGGCGTTGTAAACTGTTTGTAAGAATTCCTGAGGAACACAGGTTTTCATACGTTTAATAACTGCAATGCCTGCATTAACTTTCTTAATAATCATATCAATATGATGTTCCCAGTTCAATTTTTCGTCTAAAGTGACACCGAGGCATTTGTAGCAATTTAATCTTGGGACAGGAACATTATTAATTAATATTGGTATTCCTTGAGGTATATTCTTAATTTTATAAGGGATGCAATAAACATACATTTAGATTTCTTAGGATGAATTTGTAGCTTATTATTCTCCATCCATTGCGTAACAATATTTAGGTCATAATTTATGTTGTCAATAAGATCATTTACATTATGTGATGACGCGTAAATTTCCGTGTCATCAGCATAAAGACCCGGCGTGGTTTTTTGGAGACATTGTGGTAGGTCATTGATGTAGAGCAAAAATAACAACGGCCCCAGGATCGACCCCTGGGGGACCCCACATTTTAATTTTCCAACGGAGGACAGTATCCCATTAGCTACGCATTGTTGTTCCCTATTCGTTAGGTATGATTCAAACCAGAGTAATTCATTACCACTTATGCCAAAGTTGGATCTCATTTATAATAAAATATTGTGATTTATTGAATCAAAAGCTTTCCGTATGTCTAAAAATACTATACAGTTTATTTTCCACTCGTCCATGTTATTTAAGATTTCGTCACATATTTTAATGAGGGCTGATAAGGTTGAGTGTTGTGGCCGAAAGCCAGATTGATACTTTGAGAGAAGATTACTTTCATTCACGTACGTATACATTTGCCTAAACACTTCTTTTTCAAAGACTTTACTTACAATTGACAAAATAGAAATGGGTCTATTATTTTCACATTTACTTTTATCTTCAGATTTGAAGATAGGAATTACTCGAGATAGGAATTACTCTTACCTATAGTAATCAATGTCATTCGTTAACTAATCTTATTATTATTGTCAACAGAATATCAGGAGCATATTCTAACACCCCCATTTGCACTTATGTTCTGAGCATCTATAAATTACATCAATAATTTGTTAATTTCTAATATATTACGCAGCGCATTTATAAACCTAACATGAAATGCTTAAATTTTTCTAAGTTACCTTTGCTAGCTGGCTTTGTAAAGACGTCAGCTATGTTGTCTTCAGTAGGTACATATTTTAAACTTATGATACCTACCTGTACCTCGGATCTTATAAAATGATACTTAATATCTATATGTTTCGACCTTTGATGGTGTACGGGATTTCTATTTCTTGTCTTAACAATTTTGCCTCCTGTACAGCATTTGCGAGCGCAATATATTCTGTCTCGCATGTAGAGAGTGCAACTGTTGGTTGCTTACGGCTCTTCCAGGATATTAAAGGACCTGTTGAAGACAAATGAAAATTATAGTCAGTTATACTCCGCCTGTCGGCTACTAATGCGCCCCAGTCGGAGTCACAAAATCCGTTCAACTTTAGCGGAACGTTTGACTTCCTAGCTAAATGTCAAACCTTGCTCAGATGTACCCCTCAAATACCTTAAAACGTGTTTAGCCAAGTCGAGATTGGCTCTTGTGTGCTTAGACATTTTCTGAGAGAGCTTCGTCACTACATAGCACAAATGATGCCTGGTGCCTGTCATAACGTATATATTAAGCTCCCAACAATAGCCCTATACTCACCTGGGTCTTCTAAGCTTGGTGATTCTTCGTCTCAGACCTTCTCAATACCTAAAACACATGGAGCAGGCTTGGGCTTGCAATCAGGCTTGGGCTTGCATTTTAAACCCTGTACCTAAAACCCACGATAGCTTACCTAGGTCTTTCATTTTGAACCTTTCACCTAAAGATTCTTTTACAATTGTTAGTAATTGTGGGCAAAATGACTGGCTGCGATAATGATATCGTCAACCGATATCTGGCCTTTCTTATGACATTTCAAACAAGTATAACATCACGAGCGGGACACTTCGAACGGGGATGTCTGGCATTCCCACAGAAGAAACAAGAGTTTTCCACCTCCATTGCAGCTACGTTGCTGGCTTCTGGTAGTTCCGTAAAATTGCTGCTAGGATCAGTTTCAAATCGTTCAGGTCTTAGAACCTTATCCATTTATTTTGTTAGTTAAATTGTCTGTGCCCCAGACGAGTATAGGTTTCGGCAGCATTCTTGGATCGGCAATCTCTAATCGTCGATAGCCACAAAATAGAATATTAACTAGAAAATACATGCATGCAGAAACCCTCGCCTTGCTGACAAAACCATTGTATTTTCCGAACATGAAGTATCTACAGTAGTTGTCATGGTAACACGATAATTTTTTAAAATATTCTTACAAATGAAACGCCTAAAAATATCACTTTTAATTACAAAATTATCAATTTCCCAACATATATATATGTTAGGTATATTATTATACGTAATATAAGCTTCAATTTAAGGTGAAATTCAACCACAAACGCTTTGCAAAACGTTTTAAAGTGTTCTTTATAAAACTATTAAAACTGCCTTTGTTTTTGACTATAAAATGCCGGCTTTATCAATAAACTTTGAGTTTGCAATAAAATTATTTCAAATTCTCGCATGCAAATAACTTTGCTTTCTTTTTAATTTAAAAAAATTCAATATAATAAAAAAGGGAATCAATATTATAAACTGAGATACACTGGAATTATATGCTGTCTTGTTTACTGTTTCATATACGCAAAGGCCGTCGGGTTTTAATGCAATTATAAAATCAATATTTAAAACAAACTTACCTTCGTTATTATTATAATAAACGTCGGCTCATTTCTTTTAGCCGATTTTTTCGCCCTTTCTTTCTTGATATTTTACAAAATCTTGCAGAAATGCGAGCAAAAATGAAATATATTTGCAAGAAATTTATCAATCGTCAAATCAAGAAATGTTTGCTATTTCGCTGTATTTCATGCAGTCGTATAAAGCAAACTTTAAATTGGACCAATCAGTGTCCGCTATTCATGACTGTCCGTCATATTTTTGGGATCAGTGATGACCACCCAGCGAAACATCGTTGGTGAGCCACGCCCGTGATGATTGATGAAATTAGTACCCTCGGGGGAATTTGTAATGCCTAATAGCGCAGTAAGATAGAAATACCACCGTTCGATTCAGCGTAAGAAATGGTATTTACGGATGTCAAATGTATTACTAAACACCAGTATTCTAGCGATTTTAATATGGCCTTTGAAAATCAAGCGAAACTGTATTGTTGACATATCGCTCGCAGTACGTATTGTTGACAAATCACTCGCAGTACGTTTGTCCTTGTATTTGTATTGCCTAATGGCGCAATAAAGATAAAAAATACCACCGTTCGATTCAGCGAAGGAAATTAGTGAAATTGTACTTACGGATGTCAAATGTATCACTAAACGACAGTATTCTAGCGATTTATGGCCTTTATCTTTAAACTGATCCAAGCGAAATTGTATTGCGAACGAATCGCTCAAAATTATTCAACTAATTATAAAAAATGCAGTACGTTTGATCCTTGATAACTTTGGTATCGTTGGTTTTCTCTTTTTCGGCCGTATACCAGTGGATTTATCTCACTTCTCTCTTCATTTTGATAGTATTTTGAGCCCAAAAGCCCCAAAATATTTTATTTTGAACGTAATTCTGTTTTGAACGCACAGTTTAATCCTAGCCGGTGGAAACGCCGGAAGTTTTATTTGTATGTCTGATTGTATAAAATCCTGAACTGGGGTCATTATATTAACAGAAACTTCAAAACTGAGCCTCCTACCTGCAATACAATTATACAAACCTAGCCAATTTGAGAGCGGCAGCACTCTCCCTTTGACAAGCAAAATCGACTGGTATGAGACATTAAACCGATGATTGCCATTGGGGCACAATGCAAGTCAGTGGGATATAAATAACAATATTATAACATGGCATTCACCTAAATAGACAGAGCAGTGTTATATGTTGATATAGTTCAAAACAGAGTGAACAAAACTGTAACTGAACTAATGTTCAACCCTTTCGCGCTCGTATTCTACTTTTCCGCTTAGCTCGGGACAACCAAGGGACAACCTTAAATCTTAATTGAAACAACAGTATACTGCATGCATGCATGTATCATATACGGTAATGTGCGTGTTTGTATAGCCCCAGCGAGTTAACGCTCTATAGAGCGTCTTGTTTTGATTATATTTTCGACATATTTTTTCGATCTTAGACCATTGGCAGAAAAACGACGGCGTTCAAGGCTAGAAGTTCTCATATAGTGATTCTTCGAAAGTTTAAGACTGTTCACAGTGGCGTGGCCAGAGTCAAAGTTTTTGGGGGGCGAGATCCGAACGCCGAAGGCGTGAGCCATTATAGGGGGGTCCGGGGAATGCCCCCCCGGAAAATTTTGAAATCTAGACTCCCGCAAATGCGATTTCCTGCATTTTCCGGGTGAGATTTTGCAGAATAAAGTTGGCATTCTGAGGATTATATATTGCATAAACGACATGATTTTCCTTAATTTCACAAATGTACCAATCTTCTTTTCTCCCAAATGTAATAAATTGTCAAAGCCATCTATACTGCAGAACTGAAGTTGGGTTATTCTTTTCACTTT